GGTGAAGCTAAAGAGCTTTGGAACACTTGCCCCAGCACTGTGGACTCAAGCAGTGAGGCCCAAGTGGCACAGAGGCCAAGGAACCAAGAAGCAGAAGCTGAAGAGACAAGAAACACAGGAAGCAGAGCTGTCTCACTTTCAGTGGGTACGGCCACAATCTCTGGGGTATCAAAATGTGGAGTTGCCACTCAGATAGACTAGGAAAATGAGGCCTCCCAAATTCAAGGGAGCAGAGTTGCCGTTCCAGTGGGCCTGGGAGATGGAGCTGAAGCCCAGGGCTGAGGGGCCTCCAGTCAAAATCCAGAGAGTGTGACCAATACCTACAGACTGGAGGACAGGGCCTTTGGGTCAATGGTCTCAGAGAACAGAGGATTATTTTCAAGCTTTGAGGGCTAATTTAATGTGTTCTGCTGACTTGCTTGGTGCCTGTTATCCTTTCTTTCCCTCCAAGTTCTCCCATTTGTAATGGAAACATCTAGCTTGTGTCTGTTCCACCATTGTACTTTGGAAACAGGTAACTTGTATTCTCGATTTCACAGATGAAGAATTTTTGGATTTTAGTTTTGGAGTTGATTTAAGAGTTTTAGTATGATATGATGAAGTGAATGTGTTTTACATGTGAAAGGGTATGAATTTTTTAGGGGCCAAAGTGTGGAATGTCATGAGTTGAATTGTATCCCCCAAAAATGTGTGTCAATTTGGTTAGGCCATAATTCCCAGGAGTTTGTGATTGTCCACCATTTTGTCATCTGATGTGATTCTTGTGTTTAAACCCTACATCTATGATGTTAATGAGGAAGTATTCATGGCAGTTATGTTAATGAGGTAGGATTCAATCTACAAGATTAGATTATGTCTTAATTCAATCTTTTTTGAGATATAAAAGAGAGAAGTTAGCAGAGAGACAGGGGACCTCATACCACCAAGAAACAAGAACCAGAGGAATAGCATGTCCTTTGGACTCACGGTCTCTGCCTTGAGAAGCTCCTGGACCAAGGAAGATTGATGACAAGGACCTTCCCTCAGAGCCGACAGAGAGAGAAATACTTCCCCCGGACTGGGCACCATGAATTCGAACCTCTAGCCTCCTAGACTGTGAGAGAATAAATTTCTCTTTGTTAAAGCCATCCACTGGTGGTATTTCTGTTATAGCAGCACTAGATAACTAGAAGACATCCCTTCACCCTAAATTTTTCACCTCTGGCTTAAAATAATGCTAGTGTTAACACTTGAGTGAAATTATCAAAGCTCCTAATATTAATTATTACTTTCTAAATTTATTTGTTATTACATCCAACACTATTTTGTATGCAAAATTCAAGTAATGCTATTTGAAGTAGTTTCTCTGCTCTGATTCCTGTATCTGCTTCAATTTTATATATTGAAGTCCTGAATTTTAACTTGTTTTACCTTAGATTTTTTATCATGTTGTTGTTGTTATTGTTAGGTGATGTTGATTCAGTGCCTACTCAGAGCGGAACTATATACAACATAACAAAACACTGCCCAATCCTGCACCATCCTCACAATCCTTGCTAAGCTTGAGGCCATTGTTGCAGTCTCTGTGTCAATCCATCCTGTTGATGGTCTTCCTCTTTTAAGCTGATCCTCTACTTTACCAAGCATGACGTCCTTCTCCAGGGACTGGTCCTCCTGATAACATGTCCAAAGTACATGAGACAAAGTCCAGCCATCCTCGCTTCTAAGGAGCAATCTGGCCATACTTCTTCCAAGACAGATTTCTTTGTTCTTCTGGAAGTCCATAGTGTATTCAACCTTCTTCACCAACACCATGATACAAAAGCATCAATTCTTCTTTGATCTTCCTTATTCATTGTGCAGATTTCACATGCATATGAGGCAATTGAAAACACCATGGCTTGGGTCAGGTGCACCTTAGTCTTCAAAGTGACATCTTTCCTTTTCAATACTTTAGAGATCTTTTGTAGCAGATTTGCCCAGTGTAATATGTCATTGGATTTCTTTACTGCTGCTTCCATGAGCATTGATTGTGGACTCAAGTAAAATGAAATCCTTGACAACTTCAATCTTTTCTCTATTTATCATAATGTTGCTAATTGGTCCAGTTGTGAGGATTTTTGCTTTCTTTATGTTGAGGTGTAATCCATACTGAGGGCTAGAGTCTTTGATCTGCATCAGTGTTTCAAGTCCTCTTTGCTTTTAGCAAGCAAAGTTGTGTCATTTGCATAAAGCAGGTTGTTAATGAGTCTTCTTCCAATCCTAATGCCATGTTCTTCTTCATATAGTCCAGTTTATTTGATTATTTTTCTCAGCATACAGATTGTGAAAGGGTACAATGCTGACACATAACATCCTGATTTGAAACCACGCCATATCCCCTTTTTCTGTTCAAACAATTGCTTCTTGGTCTACGTGTAGTTTTTGCATTAGCACAATTAAATGGTTCGGAATTCCAATTCTTTGCAATGTAATTCTGTGTATTCCTTCCATCTTCTTTATGCTTCCTGCTTCACTCAAGATTTTGCCCATAGAAACCTTCAATATTGCAACTCGAAGTTTGAATTTTTTCTTCAGTTCTTTCATCTTGAGAAATGCTGAGCCCTTTATTCCTTTTAGGTTCCTAACTCCGGGTCTTTTCACATTTCATTATAATACCTCACTTTGTCTTCTCCAGCTGCCCTTTGAAATCTTCTGTTCAGCTCTTTTACTTCATCTTTTCTTCCATTCTCATTAGCTACTCTATGTTCAAAAGCAAGCTTCGGAGTCTCTTCTGACATCCAATTTGGTCTTGTCTTCCTTCCTTGTCTTTTTAATGACATTTTGCTTTCTTCTATATGATGTCCTTGATGTCATCTCACAACTCCCCTGGTCTTTTGTCATTAGTGTTCAATGCTTCAAATCTATTCTTGAGTCAGTCTCTAAATTCAGGTGGGATATATTCCAGTTCTTACTTTGGCTCTTGTGGACTTGTTTTAATTTTCTTCAGCTTCAATTTGAACTTGCATAGAAGCAATTGATGGTCTGATCCACACTCGACCCCTGGCCTTGTTCTGACATGAGAAATTAAGCTTCTGCATGGTGTCTTTCCACAGATGTAGTCTATTAAATTCCTGTGTATTCCACCTGGAGATGTCCATGTGTATAGTCTTCATTTATGCTGTTGAAAAAAAGGTATTTTCAGTGAATAAGTCATTGGTCTTGAAAATTCTATCATGAGATCTCCAGCATCATTTCTATCACCAATGCCATGTTTTCCAACTACTGACCCTTCTTCTGTTTCCATCTGTCACATTCCAATCACCACTAATTATCAATGCATCTTGATTGCATGTTTGATCAATTTTAGACTGCAGAAATTGGTAAAAATATTCAATTTCTTCATCTTTGGCATTAATGGTTTGTGTGTACATTTGAATAATAGTCATAATAACTGGTCTTCCTTGTAGATATATGGATATCATTCTATCATTGACAGTGTCGTACTTCAGGATAGATCTTGAAATGAGATGATAGATATCTTAGGCATTAGTGAACTGATATGGACTGGTAATGATCATTTTGAATCTGACAATCATATAATCTATTATACCAGGAATGACAAATTGAAGAGGAACAGTGTTGCATTCATTGTAAAAAGACCATTTCAAGATCTATCTTAAAATATAATGTTGTCAGTGATAGGATAATATCCATATGCCTACAAAGAGAGTCTTTATGATACAGGATCCAAATTAGCAGTTAAGTTTCAAAATTATCTAATTGTCATTTGAAATGATATATAATAGTTATATCCACTCATTATTAACTTGTCATTAAATTAAACATACATTCCTAAAAGTTACTTCATTTCTTTGATAATGAACATTTTAAAGACTCCCTTGTGCGAGCTTCCTGATTCAGATAGTTCTTGTACTGATTTTAGTACATGAGAGCTCCTTGGTAAATACTCCAAGAAGTCGTGTAGATATTAAATATGCTTCAAAGCTGATGGAGAGTTGGTAATTACAATTTTATCTCATCCTATTTCTCCTTATCAAAACATACAGTTTTAAATATATTAGAATGAAATAGATTATGCTACATGGAATCTGTTACATAAATTGGAAAATGTTTAGTTAACTGTCTTTTTTTGACAATGCCAATAAAGCAATTTAAAAAAAGATATAAACTGACACACTGATAAGCTAAGGGTATATTATTGATGAAAGAGAGAGAGAGAGATCAACTACTATGTCAGCTTACCCATCGCCGTCGAGTGGCTTCTGATTCATTGCGACCCTATAGGACAGAGTAGAACTGCCCCATAGGGTTTACAAGGAGCAGTTGGTGGATTACAACTGCCAGCCTTTTGGTTAGCAGCCAAACTCTTAACCACTGTGCCATCAGGGCTCCACTGTGTCAGTTTATATACTTCCAATTACAGTGTCTTTGCTCACCCTAATACTATCCATAGAGTTTGTGAGTAATCAGAATTGAAGAAATGGAAATGTCTTTGCAATCATCCTGTGGGTATCTCCTTTCCCCTTTGTGGATCATCAATTTAACTAGCCTATAATGCCTTATTTGGTCTAATTTTTTTTTTTAATATATCTTTTGTTGTTTTTATTGTTTATTTTGATTCTTAGATCTGTGATATAAACTTTGATAAATTTGTATTAGAGGAAGAAACTAGTACTATTACTACATAATTTATCTTGCATATAGTTTGTACACTTTTAACTATTATTTTCCTTCTTTCCCTTGAGTACTGAGTAAAAGACTAGGTCAGGAGTGGAAACCAACTTTAATATCTTGGCAATATATTTCATAGATTCACCAGCAGGGAAAACATCAAGTATGATGTTAGTTTGAAAGAAGAGGAGGGAGTGATTAGATTATGGTGAGATAGGACGCAATGTTAAAAGTCTTTGAGAAAGTTAATCTGATTAAATTAGACAGGAAGCCATGAAATGAATTAGAAGCTGTAGTAGAATATCTAAGGGACTTTCTTCTTTCTTTTTACTCTGATTCATCAGAGTTTACTTCTTTGAGAGAAATGCAAACCTCTTTACGGAGTCATTGAAAGCTTGTTTCACTTGCTTGTTCCTCAGGGTGTAAATGAAGGGGTTCAACAAGGGAGCAACAGAAGTCGTGAGCACTGAAACGCCTTTATTTATGGCCACTTCTTTGCTGAAGCCTTGAAGTAGGTGAAGATACAGCTTCCATAAGTGATGGAAACCACAATCATGTGGGATGAGCAGGTAGAAAAGGCCTTTTTTCTTTGCTGAACAGAAGGTAATCTCAGAACTGTCTTAATGATGTATGTGTAGGACAGAAACACACACACTTGGGTGATAATGAGTGCAAATATAGCCACAAGAATAAGCAACTGCTCTAATAACCATGTATCTGAGCATGAGATATTCAGGATGGGACCTGAATCACAGCTAAAATGATCAATAGCACTGGAATCACAGAATTCCAGCTGGAGACCCAAGCTAAAGGGAGGGAGAATGATCATCAAGCCAGCTACCCAACAGCAGAGGACTAATAAAGCACAGAACTTGTTGTTCATGACGGTCATGTAATGAAGGGGTTTACAGATGGCCACATAGCGGTCGTAGGACATAGCTGCCAGGAGAAAAATTCTGTTGCTCCAAAGAGGGTAACAAAAAATATTTGACTTGTGCAAGCATTGTATGTAACAGTATTGTTCCCAGTCGATATACTGTACAGGAATCTAGGAATGCAGACAGTGGTGAATGAGACTTCCAAGAAGAAGAAATTTCTGAGAAAAAAGTACACAGGAGTTTTAAGGTGGGAGTCCACCAATGTAAGGGTAATAATAGTCAGGTTCCCTGTTACACTCAGTATGTATGTGAAAAATAGAAAGATTAAAAGCAGAGCTTTTGTTTGTGGGTCATCTGTCAGTCCCAGTAGGATGAAAGTTGTTATACCTGTGTGATTTCTCATTGCTGACTTTTAAAGGCTACCCAATCTGTATGTAAAAATCATAGAGATTTTGTGAGGAGGTAGATATTCGGATTCTAGAGTAAAGGGCCTTGCATATAAAAGTTAAGCAAACTTAAACATATTTATTTTCTCTCTTCATATCATAATCAATATTGCCACTATTCCAGTAGTCTTCCTGAATTGTACATGTGGTAAGGGCATCAGAGATTTTCTTAAGGGTTCATCTAATTGTAAAACAACCTAACCTTTTCTAAGATCACTCCTTGACCCTCAGAATTTATAAATGTAGCTCAATATCTGTAAGTCATTAAATGGATTGGGTTTACAAATAGGTTTGAGTAAAAACCAAAAACAAAAAACCAAACCTGTTGCTGTTGCGTCGATTCCAGCTCATAGAAAACCTACAGGACAGAGTGGAACTGCCCCATAGGATTTCCAAGGAGCACCTGGTGGATTCAAACTGCTGACCTTTTGGTTAGCAGCCATAGCTCTTAACCTGTACACCACCAGGGTTTGGTTTGAGTAAAGATGATGTCATTTCGTGGATACTTAAAAGTCTTTTTGTCCAAGATAAACCCTGGATATACAATATACATTTGTAGGGAATAAAGAATGTAAATTCTCTTCAATTGTTAATATCAAAGGATTACTTTAAGAATAAGATACATTTCTCCTGGAAAAGAAGCAAATGACTATGACAGCAAGAAAACATAACACCGGACCCTGAGACTTTCCCTTGTTTCTTTATCCATCTCTGCTTGTGTTCCTTACTCCTTATTCTTAACACTATAGTACCTATAAAATAAAAAAAAAAAAACGAAAAACACACTCATTGTTGTTGAGTTAATTCAGACTTATAGTGACCCTACAGAACAGAGTAGAACTGTACCATAGGTTTTCCAAGGAGCAGCTGGTGGATTCAAACTGCCAACCTTTGGTTAACAGTCAAGCTCTTAACCACTGTACCACCAAAGCTCCATAGTACTTACAGATGGATTGATATATGACTATTTTACCTATAGTGAAAGAAAATATATTCACATATTTAAAAAAGGAATAGCCTCATATGCTTTCATCTTATATTTCAGTTAATTGACTCTGGTCCCTTTTCTCTAAAATCCTTTGAAGCTAAAACTGCATTTAATATCACAATATATATTTCTTCAGGCTGTGCGTTTTTCCATTGTGTTTTTAATTTCATTGAAAATACATTAGTGTCTTTACTTTCTTATCGTACCCTTACTCAGTTTAGGCTTTGACCCGCTGAAAACTGATTCTCATTTCCAATCCCCTACCCCTTTCCCAACATCTGCAAGAACTTCATTATTCTTGAAGCCAATAGTACATTTTAGTTTTTATCTTGCCTGGTGTCATGGATTGAATTGTATCCCCACAAAATATCTGTCAACTTAGCTAGGCCATGATTCCCAGTATTGTGTGATTGTCCACCATTTTGTCATCTGATGCGATTTTCCTATGTATTGTAAATCCTATCACTGTGATGTTAATGAGACGGATTAGCGGCAGTTATGTTGATGAGATCTACAAGGTTAGATTGTGTCTTAAGCCAATCTCTTTTGAGAGATAAAAGAAAGAAATGAGCAGAGAGACGGAGTGTGTCTTTTAAACCCGAGGTTCCTGCACAGAGAAGCTCCTCAGCCAGGGGAAGACTGATGACAAGGACCTTTCCCCCAGTACTGACAGAGAAAGAAAGCCTTCCCCTGGAGCTGATGCCCTGAATTTGGACTTCTAGCCTACTAGACTGCGAGAGAATAAATTTCTCTTTATTAAAGTTATCCACTTGTGGTATTTCTGTTATAGCAGCACTAGATGTCTAAGACACCTGGCATCCCCACGGCATTTTTTTTTTTCTTTAAAGTTTAGTCATTTGTCACATGGGTTCCATGCCATGATTCTCATTTTCCTCCTAACTGTGGATCTCTTTTTTCAGTGACCTACATAGGCTTGGAGGCCGGGGGTGGAGGCATGATTTCACTTTGAGAAAGTGGAATACAGGGGGGCTTTGTTCATCTATGAAATACTGAAGTTCTCAAGTATTCTATCTTCAGAACTCTCCCTTCTTGCTTTATGTTTTTTTATACTTCTTAAGGAAACCCTGTTGGCATAGTGGGTAAGAGTTCGGCTGCTGACCAAAAGGTCAGCAGTTCAAATTCATCAGGTGCTCCTTGGAAACCCTATGGGGCAGTTCTACTCTGTCCTATAGGGTCGTTATGAGTCAGAATCAACACAATGGCATTGGGTTTGGTTTTGGTTTACTCTATACTATTCAAGGATTTTGCCCTGTCCACTTGATTAGATTATCATTTATATGATGGATTCCAAAGGCCAGATCTTTTCTCCATAAAAATATTGTTAAGTGCACATCGCCAATTCGATGTTCATAGCCCCCTTGTATTCCACCTTCTCAAAGTGAAGTGATGCCTCCACCCCTGCCCTCCAAGCCTTCCCTTCTTCCATGCTAACTATTTTTTGTTAAAGCATCATGTCTTTTACATGGTCTGCAAAGCTCTTCATGGACAGGACCTTCTTTGATTTTCCCACCTCATCATTTGTCAGTGCCTTACATTTATTCTTCATACTTTAGGATCCACTAACACTGACTACTTGTAATTATTCGTATTTTCTTTTTTTAAAAAAAAAATTTTTATTGTACTTTAGATGCAGGTTTACAGAACAAATAGTTTCTCATTAAACAGTCAGTACACATATTATTTTATGACATTGGTTAACAACCCCACAACATGTCAACACTCTCCCTTCTAGACCTTGGAGGATCTTTTTTTTTTTTTTGGTGATAATATACATAGCCAAAGATACACCATTTCAAAAATTTCTGCAGGTAAAATTCAGTGACATCGATCACATTCTTCCAACTCTGCTGCTATTCTCACTATCCTTTTCCAAATTATTCCATCCATTATCTTCAACTCACTGTCCCCTAGCCTTCCCATCAGACCTTTTGAGTTGCTGTTGTCAATTTGATCTCGCATCGATAATTCTTTTTTTTTTGTACTTTAGATGAAGGGTTACAAAACAAATAGTTTCTCATTAAAGTTAGTACACATATTGGCCTATGACAATGGTTAACAAACCCACGACACATCAACACTATCCTTACTCAACCTTCGGTTCCCTATCACCAGCTTTCCTGTCCCCT